GCTTTTCAGTTTTTTCAGGACCGTATTTCACTACACAGACATGAATAGATGTATAATTAAGTGAAATATTATTGGGTTGTTGGAAAGTCATGACATAGTTTTTGTTTTTCTCTGCAAAAATGTGTCATGACTTTTCCCACAACCCAGTACATGATCAGCCACCAAAAACCTCACCCAGAAGGATTCTATTTACCACAAAGATCTTGTGTCTGTTTTACTCTCCACTTCTCTCCTGAGCCCTCTGGTGTCTTTCTGGAGACCTGTCCCATCTCACCACTGAGATGAGCTTCTGCTGGCTCTGGGAGCCAGCCGTTCTCCTTTTCCCTGATGTGTGTTTCTTTCTGCACTAACAGCATGTTTAGAAATATCTGAGCTTGTCTGATAGACAGCTAAGTCAGGCCAGGCCTGGCAGGCAACTGGGATAATATTCCTTCCACAGACCCAATGTCACTGGGCCCGGGAGAACACCGGGACTCCTGTTGGTGGTCACAGTTGGGGGGAGGTTGACAAGATATAGATTGATTCCATTTCAGCCTAGCGTGAGTTATCACTGCTGTTTTGGCAGAATCTGTTCCAAAAAGAAACGTTGGGGTTTCTTATCTTATAGTCTGTACAGTATTGGAGTTCCACTCGAGGGGGTCAGAGCCAAGGCAGAGCATGGTGCTGGGTGTCTGGGAGGGCGACCCCTCGTGAATGAGAATGACATCTGGGTCAAATCTCTTGGCTCTGCTGTAGGGAGAGAGTGGCAGTCGCTTACCGTGCCTGGGTGAAGAGTGGGCATTTGAGTCTGATGGTATTTTCAGGGTTAGAGGAATGTAGATTCTCAGCTATCAGAGCTCTTGGCCACTACAACTGGGACTTCTAGGAATTGGTGCAGGTGGGCCCAGGAGGAAACAGGATCAGTAAGCCCAGGAACTGTTGTCCAAGTGTCTTAGAGATACTGACTGGTCTTTTGCTGTCCAGATTATAAACATTGTGGTACTTCGGGATCAGCAGTTCTCATAATGGTTACGCTGCTGGACTCCCACATAGTTGACTGCAGTTTGAGTCCCAGACCCGACAGCTTAAAACTCATGCCAGGCGCATGTACATGCATGCCCAAGATCCCGAGGGGAGGGCAGAGAAGGGATCACAGCATGGCCATCCACCCTGGGGGTTGATTTTTCACTTTCTATCTCTCTGGTGAGCACACGCACCCTATAGCCAAAAAAAGAAAGAAAGAAAAATTTAAAAACTCTTGAAGAAATTGTGGTAGTTTATATCCATTAGCATATTAGAGAGCTGTCCTGGTTTTTGAGATGCTGTGCTTTTCATAAACGTGTCTCAATGAAAAGTCTCTCACTGATCCTATTCCGCTTTATATTCTTCGCCGAGAAGCAGCGATAGCCATTTCTAACATTTTATGATAGTCCTATACTTGGACCACTGGGGCCTCACCACAGTCCTCGGAGGTGGCAGGCATTATCCTCGGTTGTCACAGCAAGCATCAGAGGCCTAGAAAGACTGAGTGTCGTGGGCAGGGTCAGAGGCAGTAAAGGAGAGAGACTTGAACCTGGTGTTCCCACTCCAAGTTGCTGTGCTTGCTTTTTTGTGCCCTTCCCTGAGCCCTGAGGGAATGACAGAGGAGAATTCATATCCCAGAACTACACCTAAGAAGAGTCTGGGGCCTCCTTTAGAGACGGATGAAAGCCATCCTTATGCAAGAAGATTTCAGTCTCTGTTCACCTGTTGGTTCCCACTTCCTCATGAGATTTGGGGGTTTCTTAAACATGTAAGAAACTCCCAAGGGAATAGATCAGGTACCTGTCAATTGGCTTGCGGCTGAATAGACTCATCCATCTACACAGTGGATTTGGAGGCCAGTAACAATGCAGTCACACTGTGGGAACTATTCTGAAATATCTGTGAGATACAATAAATGAAAGGGTGCAGGGTGCAGAACTGTTGTTTGCTTTTGAAGTAGGAAGGAGGAGGAAGTGCATAAAGGAATCCTGGAAAGTTACAGTAGGTGCAGGGAAAGGCGTTGAAGGTAGAGGACAGTGTGGGATACCAGTAACATTTCTGTTATCTGATGTCGTTTGATTTTTTAAAAATGTAATTTTAAAAGAAGTCACCGGGACCAGCAGTTGGTGTAATGGCTACATCACTGGACTCCCATGTAGTCGACCGTGGTTCGAGTCCTGAAACTGGTGGCTTAAATTCACACTGGGAACGTGTGCATGTGTGCCCAATATCCTGAGAAGAGAATGGAGGAGAAGGGATTGCGGCATGGCCATCCCCCCGCTGGCGGGGGTGTGTGTGTGATTTCTCGCTTTCTGTCTCTCTGTCTCTGGCAAATGCACATGCCCTATAGCAAAAAAAAAAA